CAGGATGAGACCCTGGCAGCATCATCAGCATCCATAACCAGTTTCCATAGCAACAGGTTCAGCCCCAGATCGGCAGCAGGTGCTGGGAAGCAGGAATGAGGAGGGAGCTCGGGGGGACCCCATGAGCAGCAAAAAATAGGGTTTGGTACAGAAAATCACTTTGCAACTCAGCCCCTCGGGAGCGAAGGGAGGCTGAGCTGAGCCGTGGCCCGACACAAACCCAGGACAGCCCTTTCAGGGACACCGGGGAGCTGCCCCCATCCCCCCACCCCTGCCAGGCATGGATCCTGTCCACCCATTCCAGGGGGATCAGCATTCCCAGTTTATTCCCAGCTGGCACCAGGAGCTCTGCTGCGCCCTTCCCTGGCTCCGGCCAGGAGCAAACAGCCACGAGACCCCAGAGCATCCATCCCACAGTCCTGAACGCCGGGGAAGCGCAGGCCTGGGGAGTGATCGGGAGGGAGAGCCCGGACAGGGATGCTCCAGGCGTGCGGATGCCGGCGGGGCCTCGCCCCCACCCGCGGCCGTGCCCTCCTGCGGCACGGTTACACAAGGCTCCCGGCGCTTGCATAAGCGGCAGCAGCCACTGCAGCCTCAAGGAGAGAGGAGAAGAGAGCGGGAGCCGCGGCCCCGAGCCACGCCTGCGATGGGATCCCGGGCCAGAGCCCGGATCCCGCCGGCGAGGGCCGCGGGTCTGGAGCATCCTGCAGCCACTCCTAAACCAGGTGACACAACCCCCTGCATGCAGCAGGACTGGCCCCATCCCTTCACCGCCCTTGTGGATAGACTGAAAACAGCAGGAATTCAACCCTTAACAGCCATAAAAAGGCTGCCAGAACCCCCAAAGCCAGCGAGCAGCCTGCACACCAGCCCTGTGGCATCCAATACTCACCTGCTGCCACTTCCAGGCCTGGAAATGGGGTTAGTCCCAGGGGAAAACAATTTTAAAAAGCCTTTTAACCAAGCAGGTGTGAGGGAAGCATCTTGTGGGGCTTGGGCTCCCAGGGAGCCTCTGTGGAGCAGGACACCCATGGGTCAGCATCAGCTCCCAGTCCTGCTCTGGGGGGAACAAGCACCGCCTTCAAACCAGCACCCATCAGCACCCAGGGTGCCTTTGGCCAACCCCTGGGAGTTTGGCACAGGGCAGCTCACCCTAAACCACGGTGTTCATGCCCTAAACCACGGTGTTCATGCCCTAAACCACCGTGTTCGTGCCCTAAACCACGTTGTTCATGCCCTAAACCACGGTGTTCATGCCCTAAACCACATTGTTCATGCCCTAAACCACGGTGTTCATGCCCTAAACCACGGTGTTCGTGCCCACTGTGGTGCATTGGATCTGGCTCAGCTCCACGGCTGTCAATGAGCACGTGGCCAGAGAGGGTTTTAAGAACCTGCAATGCCAACCAAGTCACCTTTCCCAGGGGATTTACACCCTTTACAGGCTTCCTTTCCAGGATTCCTAGGTGCTGTCCTCGCTGTAGTGGGGCTGATGTTTTGACTCCAACTCCTTCCCATCCCACAACCCACATCCCTTGTTTTTCTGCCCAGTGCAAAGAAAGGACTAAAAACCACAACAAAAAGTGAAGAAATCCTCTAATTTAATGAGCAGAGAAGCCCACAAACCTCTAGCTTGGCTTTTTAGGTATGAACAATATCATCTCTGTGTCTTGAGGAGATTTAATTATTTTAACAATTAAAAGGGACCTCCCCAAGAGGCTGCACATGGAGGGCACAAGCACCTGCAGGACTCATGTGCATCCCAGCCCAGCACAAACTTCCCATGGCAAAGGTAACTTTACAGGTGGCACAGAAAGAGAAAACCAGAAAAGGTCATTGCACAAGAGGGGCTGATTCTCCTGATTTAAATACAGCCCCACAAAACCACACTGCAAAGCCACAGGCACACCCAGAGCTGCAGCAAACACTCACCAGTGACCCTTGGGCAGTGATGCTGCTTCCTTGCAGGCAAGGGGAAACATTTCCATCCTCCTTCTTTGTATAGGGAATGACTCTATGGGAACAGCAGCCACCCCAAAGGCACGACACTGGGACAACCAGCTCACTGTCAGGGTCAGATACCCCAGCTCTGCAGCCATCCCTCCCCTGAGACACCCCCCAAACCTCAGCCTCAGGCCTTTTATTGCCTTCAGGATAACAAATCCCAAAATCTCAGTGCAGCTGCCCTGGGAGGGGAAACAACACAAAAAGACCCAAGCCCCAGGTGCTTAGAGAGCTCCAAGCCCCAAGGTGAGCATCCAACCATCTGATTGCCTCTGAAAACCATTGTTAAGGTGATTCTCAGCAGAGGACACGTGTGGCAGCCCCGAAGCCCCCCCAGAGTCTGTGTTGTGCTGGGGTGAGGCAGAGCCGCGGGAGGAGCGAGGGCGATGTGTGAAATCGAGGGGCGGCCACAGCTATTTCTGCTCCGTGTCAGCACCCACTGACAGCAGCACCCTGGGAACACAGAGGAGCTCCAGGCATCTTTTTTCTGAGTGAAATTCACCTGTACATGACTGCACTTCCCCATTAACCCCCAGCATTGTGAGGTGTGGAGCTCGCTGGTTCTGGGGGCAAAGCTGGGGGGCTTGGGGCCACAGCGAGCTGCTGGCACCCTTGACATCTCCATTTAGGCTCCTGAGATTCCCCCTTATCTGATGGGCAGAAGCTTCTACAAATCCCTTCTCCTTCCTTCTGCTCAGGGTCACTCTTTTTTTCCCCTTAATTTCTTGGGACTTGGAGCGAGACCCAGGCAAATGCGACTGATTGTGTAACGTTTTGCTCAGAAAGCTTCTTAAACAGTCACATATTTCTATTGGATTTCCCTTGCCCTTCACTGCTGATTACTGGAGTATTTATATATAAATAGAAGCTGTCTTCCCCATAATCTGCTTGTTTCTCCTAATTAACTCAGGGCTGCTTTCCTTGGGTTGCTCAGCCCTTGGGTTTTGGGGGTGCAGGCACCCAGCAGCACTCAGTGAACCCAAATGCACCAAATTTCTGCTGAAATTGCTTTTTTAGCTGGTTTTAAAGATGCAAAACCCTCCCTTCCAAACTTTATGTGCTCAGTATCTGCCCCATCCTCCCAACTCCCAGCTCAGGGAAGTGCTCAAACGTGATTTCTTCATCTTCCTCCTTCCTCACAAAACTTTCCCTTAATTCAAGGAACGTCTCGATTTGATAATTATTTTAATCATTATTACTCATCTTTCCCCTTTCTTCCCCCCCTCAAAACTTCGTCCTGGGCCTGTCAATCACTTTAATAGCTGTTTACAACCTATCATCAAGTCTTGCATAACATCCACATGACTTCACTCAGATGCCTCCGACACCCAAAAGCTGCCCCTGGGCTCTATTTCAGGAGTGATGGAGCCCACGGCACCAACTGGCTGCATCCCCCGCCGGCATGCCCGGGGTCCTGGGATGGGGAAAATCAAAGCCAAAGACATGCCCGAAGCAAAACTATTTTGTAGTTAACACAAGGCAGCCCCACGCTGCTCCCCGGCTCAGGTTTTAGGGGTGAGGGTTGGTTTGGTGGGCTCGCACCCCTCCCCAGCATCGCAGGTGGATGTTGCACCAATTTGTAGAGATCGGGAGCTGAAGGCATTGGAGCAGCCCCTGGATGGCAGCGTGGCCTCTGCCCCCAACTCCCCTCTCAGCACTGGGACACACGCACACCAAACATGGCAAATTCTGTTTAAAATGTCGTTTTCTAGCGAAGTTCTCCACGCCGCGGCATCGCCCGTCGGCGGCGGGTTGGCGGGGGGACGGGGCAGAGGCGCAATCTGTGCTGGAACGGCTGCCAGCCCTTTTCCTTCGGCAGCGACGGCTGGCTCGTGGGGCGGGGGGGGACACGACGGCTCTTTTTTAAGCTCTCCCGTCCTCCCCCTCTCCCTCAGATTTCATAACCCTTCAAAGCACGAAAAGGCTCCTCCGGTTCCCGGCTAATGAGCCCCTGCGGAGGAGGAGCGCGGCCCCGGCGGGAGCGGAGCTCGGCAGCAAAACCTCCCCACGGCGGGTGGGACGGGGCAGGGGGACACGGAGGGGTCTCTGCGGGGTCTCGCCATAACCCCAGCTTGGCCAGGTCTCTCCCCAAAACCGCTCTTGGCACGAGGCTGCCCGGGATGGGACGTCTCTCCCTCCCCGTGCAGATGCTGCATGCAAATGTTTATTTACACAGCATTAGGGGGTTATTTATTAAGCCACGGTTGACAACTGTATTCAAACTAATTTCTCTTAATAAGGCACTTGCGGTCACCCCGGCAACAGCACCGGAGTGCCCTTCTTGAAGGAAAATACTGGGGTGAAATCCCCTTGGATGCCAAGAGGGTGCTCTGAGGGGGCCTCTGGAGATGTTGGGGCTGGAGGCACCAACTCCCTTCTTGGGAGATCTGCTCCATCCCCCGAGATGGAGTCCAGAGGGAGGGAGGAAACTGGGCTAGAAGTGTCTATTTTATGTGATAGATGTATAGAGAGAGAGGTCACCAAAAGCAGGAGGGCATCCAAGGGGGTCCTTGCTTGCCCAGGGGAAAATAAGGGATGGCAGAGCTCCCATGTCCTGCTTTGGACTGGAAAACACAATGGCTGCTTTATCAATTCCTGTGATTACAACACTAATTAGGATGATGTGGGATGAAGGCAGGATTTCTGTTTCCTTGCACTGACCAAGGTGACAGGTTAAACTATGCAAAGAAAGACAGCAGATTTCTCAGCTCCATCTCTGTCTCAGAGAATAATCAAACCAAATTTCCCCTGGGTTTTAAAATCCTGGATGCATCAGTTCACCAAATGCTGTGCAATCCAGGGTTTGCAAAACACAACTCCCCAAAACTGGAAGGAAGCTCCTTTTCCCATCTGAAACCCAGACTCACACACTAAATCATCACGGGGTTGTTTTGGGGGTATTTTACTGACCAGTCACTCAGTGCTCCAACCAGCTGGGGTGGCCCCAGGGAAACCCACCAAGAACCCACCCCAAAACAAAGGATTCACACTGGGAATTAGAGCAGGCTGTGATTTACTGGGACAACAACACTTCTGCAACAACAGAGAACACGACTGTGCTGAGGCACCCGGCCGGCAAACCTGCAGCAGCACTGAGCATTGCCACACTGGGGCCCTCAGAGAGGGGACATCAAAGCAGACACTGGAGGGGTGCTCGAGGTTCTGGGGAACCCAGAGAGCTGACACTGAGAGCAGAGACCAGAGGGAAGCTCCTGGAGACCCAAGAGAGGTGAAACCAGAGCAGAGAGCAGAAGGATAATCCTGGGGATCCCAGAGAGGCCACACTGAGAGCAGACACCAGAGGGATGCTCATGGTCCTGGGGACCTTGGAGAGGTGACACCAGAGCAGACACCAGAGGGGTGCTCATGGTCCCCAGCACAGGTTTCCCTCCCGTGTCACCCCCAGACACACAGACACAAGACAGAAGCCTGCTGGGACAAGGCTGCTACATGCCCAGGGAGGGAGCAGAAGGCAGTGGGTTCCAGACGGGCTCCACGGGAGACAGTGGCACACAACTCCCTCTGGAGGCACTTGATCCTTCAATCCCGGGCACCCTGGCTCTGCCTGTGAAGCTCCAAAGGCACACGTTGGCTGCAAGGGATCTCACAAACTCCTGCTGGGATTGCAGAGAGCCTGAAGGAGCCCAGCACTGTGTGGATGGGATGGGGTTTGGTCCCAGCCTCCAACTGGCCTGGCTGGGCTCGATCCTCCTGGCTGTGACAGCGGGGCTGCTCTTCACATGCTCATTCCCAGCCCAGATTCCCTTTTATCCATGAGGTGAGCATGTTGTCAGACTTTGCCTTCTCTGAAAGCCATCTGAGATGGCAGGAGCCAGGCAGGAGCCTCAGGAAAGCAGGGATTTGGGGCTGAGGGGCTGCAGTGGGGGCTTGGCAGTGATTCAGAGCTGGGAAGAGGCATCTAAGCAAGGACAGGGAAAGTGGAACAGGCCACAAGATCTGCCCTGGAAACTGGGCTTGGACCAGAAGAAACCAGAATCAGAGGGAACTGCTGTAGCTGGAAGTGCTGATCTAGTTGAAAATAAAGAGCATCTACTGCAGGCAGTGGTAGGTTCCCTTCCTGGGCAAAATCCTGACTGCTGAGTGCAGGATTTAGCCCAGGCTGCTGTGTGTGCAGGGTTTGCTCTAATAAACACACACATCCCTGCAGCAGAGGAGTTGAGCTCCTTGGAGGCATTTCCTTAAGGATAGATCCCTGCTCCTGTGCCCTCAGTAATCTGCCCAAGCCTCCCTCCTCCTCCTCTTACACACTGCCTGGGTTGTAGCACAGCAGGTTGAACTCCAGGTTCTCATCCCAGTGACGGAGCAGCACAAAGAGCTGCTGGGCTGCAGCTTTCACCGTGGCCAGGCTGGATCCCTCGGGGAAGTCCTGCCCGCTCAGCCACAGGCTGGCTTTGGCAGCCACCAGCTCCCACTCGATGAAGTAAGAAGCTGAGCTGTGCTCCAGCCAGGCCAGGGCCACAGCCGTGGCCCACAGCATCCCCTCGGGCTCCGTCTGCTGCTGCAGCTCCACGTCTGAGAGCACAGCCTGGAGCTCCGAGCCGCCCTCGGTGTCCCAGCCGCTGCCGCTGCCGGCGGGGGAGGAGAAGCTGCGGATGGTGATGGCCGGGGGGCGCAGCTCCTGCTCCTGCTCGGCTCTCAGGGCTCTGGAGATGCTCTCGGCAGCGCTGCCCGACAGGTGCCGAGGGCGGCCCGCGTTCCCCAGCACTGCTCCCCCTGCCAGATCTGCAGTGGTGGGGCCCTTCCCCTGCCCGCTGGGGACCAGCAGCTGCTGGGGGCAGTTCAGGGGTTTGTGCTCCGAGGAGGAGGAGCTGTTCCTCTTGCTGCTGTAGGAGCCCGAGGGGCTGAGGGACAGGCGGTGGCAGGCGAAGGGTGACGTCCACTTCAGCTTCTCCATGGGGATGTTGACGGCGTCGCAGAAGGCTGAATTCAGAAGGAAGGCACCGCAGGCCAGCTGCAGGGACACCTGCAAGGGATGGCGGGCACAAAGGGAAGCTCTGGCACCAACCACTTGTGGGTAGCTCAGGAAAAAGGCATGTATGGGTGAAACAGCTCTCCATCTCTGAGCAGGTCACTGGACGTGGTTGTCAGAGGTAGCAGGAGGAAGATTTGGGGGGATCCTCCTCTGCTCCCCTGCAGTGACCACACAACCCCAACAAGACCCAGGGAGGAGCTGCTCACCAGGGGAAGGTAGTCCATGCTCTCACTGTCACCCTCAGAGCTGGCTTTGCTCCCTCTGCTTGGAGATTTACTCATGAAGCCTTTGGCAGCTCGAACCAGCAGCATGGTTTTATTGAGGGTCAGCCTGTGAAAGGATGAAAAGGTGTCTGTGACCTCTGTGCTCATCCTGACACCCACCTTCCCCTCCAAACCATCCCTGCTCCCCAGACACTGGCACCACGCTTAGCCCCAGCTCCAGCTCCTTGGGTCCCTCCTCTCCCCCTGGCTTGTGTTCACATCAGACCCACACAGGTGAAAGGCACCTGCTGAGGTCAGAGGAAGGTCGAGCTGGCTCATACCTGGCAGCAAAGAGCCTCTCAATGGATTTTTGGGCTTGTGCAGAGGAAGCAGACAGGCTGTGGAGAGGCCCTGGGGAGAAACACAGTGCTGGGTTTACAAGGTGCTACAGGGGAGCAAAAGGGAGCAGAGTCAAGGTCCTGGCTTGTTTGGCTGCTGAATCTTTGGCAAAACTCCTCCTCTCCCCTTGCCTCATTTTTCCTATATGGATAATAAAAATTCCTATACCTTTTAAAAATGAACCTGGGGGAGATTTTTACCAAAAGTCACATCAAGTTCCATCCTTTGCACCTCAGAATGAGTCCGGCCCTGTGCTCACAAGCCTAGTTTTAGGTAATAAATTTTTATAAAATTCCCCAAAACTCAGCAGAAGCCCAAACCACTGACTTGATGGAGCTGCACGAGGTGCCAGCAGCTCTTTCCCTACCTTCAGGGCCACGGCAGCGCTCCCAGGCAGACAAGGACGGGGTGCTGGAGGGTGAGGGGCTCCTCTCCTCAGCATCTGCAATTGAGGAACCACATCAGCAACAGCACCCAGCCAAAGCCAGCACCTTCCCTCCCACGGCACGATGGGGTTAATGAGCCTCTTTGGGGCTCTGGTAATTCAGCTCCAGCTCTGACAGTGCCAGACAAGGTCCAATCCAACTCGTCTTCATTAGTGGAGGATTTGGTGACAAGTGAGTGTCTCACATCCCCCCTGCCTCTAATTACACTCGTTTCATCCTTCGTGTTACCCACGCTACGGCTGCCAATTAACTCCCAAGCACTGCCAGCAGCACCCCCTGCCATGGCAGGGCTGTGGGGGAAATCGAAGCTTCCTCTCCCTTCAAGGAGATGAGCCCCAGCCTGACATGTGTCTGGTGAGCACAGTATGCAAAGGGGAAGGCAGGATTTAAAAGGACCAGAGAAGGTGTCCCAAGCCACTGAGTGTGCCAGCCTCCTGCTGAGAGCAGGTTTGCCCCCAGGCAGGCTGCACAGGCCGGACAGCTCAGTCCTCTTACAGGTTCAGACTGCCTGAAACCCAAGCAGCTCTCAGTCGCTGGCAACCTTTAGCAAGCATAAGGGATATCAGCTCTTTAGTGATTATCAGCTCTTTTGAGTTCAGCTCTTTTGCTTGCTAAGGCGCTGCAGGCCAACCGGCAGATCCTGGCGAAAGAGGAGAAGGCCATCTTGGTGTTCCACAGCCATGTCTTTACTGGGGGTCTGTGAAGGGTTCCAGAGATGGCTCTTCTAACCAGAATGGGCTAAAACACCCCATTCTATAGGGTATAGGGGGATCCAGAATTGTCCAATAGCAGGGGTTAAGGGAAAGTGACCTATGGGGTTACAGAGAGATAAGCTGGGGTCTGAAAGGTGGAAGACAGGGGCTTGCCATGACTTGGCATTTCCTATCTTTAGGCCTCTGCTCTCCACGGGGCCCTAGCAAGCCCCTGGCCTGCTACAACTGAGATCTCTAACACCAGGGAGGAGATAAAACCCCAGGCAATCTTACTCATGCTGATCAATCCATAGTCTCCATTCTGGCCATATGCTGCCTGAGGATGTCCCGGGGAAGAGCCACGATGCCTTCTGTTTCCTGAACTCTTCTGTTTCCTCTGGTTGCCTTGCTTGGATGTTGCCCCTTGGCATGAGAGAAGAGAATGGCCAGTTTTAGAGAGAGACTGGCACATGCATGATAGCAATGAAACCACAGAATGAGCTTGGTCAGGAACTGGAGTGACAGGACAAGGAGGAATGGCTTCAAACTGGAAGACAGGCTTAGATGGGCTATTGGAAAAAAATTCTTTGATATGAGAGTGCTGAGGCCCTGGCACAGGTTGCCCAGAGAAGCTGTGGCTGCTCCCTCCATGGAAGTGTCCAAGGCCAGGATGGAAAGAGCTTGGAGCAGCCTGGGGTAGTGGAGATGGTGGCAGGGGGTGGAATAGGATGAGCTTTAAGGTCTCTTCCAACCCAAAACATTATGTGATTCTCTGGTCATCCCTGGGTATCCAGACCTCAGAGGAGACCAATTCCCTGGCCATAGAAAGAGGTTTGTGCCACCAAGATCTTGACCACAACCTTGGGTATGGGTCTGGTGCCAAATTGTGCTGCGGCTTCATAGGCTTTGCCCTGAGAGAAGTTCCCCAGTGACACCTTCCCTGCCAGGCCAAGGTTCCACCCCTGTGCCAGCCCCACGTTACCTGTGTGGGTGTACTGGACCAGGGTGGGCAGGTAGGAGCTGGTGTTCAGGTCCACAGGCACGAAGGCTGTGTACTTGCTGATGATGTTACAGGCCTTGCTGGTGTGGACAGCGCTGAGCTGGAACCGCCGCCCAGACCCTGCCACGGGAGGGACAGCAGGGTCAGAGTCCAGGGGCCCCAGGGGCTCCCCCAGCCCTCACACCCAGCTCCCACACCCACCCCCATGCCTGGGGATCCATGCCCAGCAGGGGCTGTATCCCTTTATCTCTCTAAACTCTGCCTACTGCTGCTCCTGCTCTTGTTTCACAAGCCCAGATGCACCTCATGAGGACAGGGTTGACATGGCCCAGGGACATGTGTGGCCCACGGCAGTGATGTGTGGCTGCTGCTGGAGTTGGATGCCACTTCCCAGCTCCAAGTGACCAACTCCTTAAAAATAACCATGTTACCTCATGCATGAAGCTGAGGGATCACAGAATCATGGAACATACTGAGTCAGAAGGGACTCTCAAGGACCATCAAGTCCAACCCCTGCTTCTGAGGAGTGGGAAGGAACATGAGTTCAGGAATGACCATGTGCAGCAAGGCTGCAGAAGCAGAAGAGCACAAGGCAGCTGAAGGGAGCTGTTATCTGGGAGCTGTGTGAGACATTCCCTAATATTTTATCACCAGCAGCTTTTGTTTTCACTCCAGAGGCTGCTGAGACTGCTGGGAAGCCCTCCCGAGGCCGGGCAGGGTCTGCCTGCAGCCAGCTGTGCATTACCATGCTCGATTTCACACTCCCTCTCAGCGAGCTGCTCCAAGTCCTGGATGAGTGACTTGGCTGCCAGGTGGTGGAAGGTCTCACTCCACACGTCTTTGTCACCATCCTCGCGGCTCTCTCGCTCCCGGAACAGAGGGTGGATATCAAACGTGACTTCCCACTGCACAGGCTCGTTGTTCCTCAGCCCCTTCACCACTGCCCTGCAGAGGGCCCTGGGGGAGGAGCGCGGGGAGCCGCAGGCAGCGCCGATATCCAGGTCCTGGGGCTCCCAGTCGGAGGAGGTCTCTGTCTCAAAGGTGAGGGATGGATGCTGGGCAGCCTCTGCAGAGAGGGGAGAGGAGGATAATTATCCACCTCCCTGGGAGCTGAATTCCCCACTGGCACCACAAAACCATAATTAATCCTTCCCAACTGTCACACGGTGGCACGGCGTGCGATGCAATAGCACCAGACCCCGGCACGGACAGGTGAGGCTGGCCATGCCTCCCCCTCTCCCACTCACCCACATCCCCGGGGCTCCGGCTGTCCGATGAGGAGTGCAGGCTCCTGATGGCACCGAGTGCTTCCAAGCCCCTCGCCGGGGCTTCCTGCAGCCCGTCCGGGGGGGCGGCGTCGTGGCAGAAGGACACACAGCTGTGCTGGAGCAGGGCGGGGCGCCGGGCGCCTGTGCCGCGGATCCTGCCCGCAGAGCCGTGCGGGATGGCCGGGAGGGGCTGTGAGCAGAGCAGGTGTTAGGGCTGGAGCCAATGGCACAGACCTGCTCTGTGCCCTCTGATCCCATCTGCTCCATGCATGGATCTGCTCTGTGCCCTCTGATCCCATCTGCTCTAAGCATGGACCTGCTCTGTGCCCTCTGATCCCATCTGCTCCCTGCATGGACCTGCTCTGTGCCCTCTGATCCCATCTGCTCCCTGCATGGACCTGCTCTGTGCCCTCTGATCCCATCTGCTCCCTGCATGGACCTGCTCTGTGCCCTCTGATCCCATCTGCTCCCTGCATGGACCTGCTCTGTGCCCTCTGATCCCATCTGCTCCAAGCATGGATCTGCTCTGTGCCCTCTGATCCCATCTGCTCCATGCATGGATCTGCCCTGTGCCCTCTGATCCCATCTGCTCCAAGCATGGATCTGCCCTGTGCCCTCTGATCCCATCTGCTCCAAGCATGGATCTGCTCTGTGCCCTCTGATCCCGTCTGCTCTAAGCATGGACCTGCTCTGTGCCCTCTGATCCCATCTGCTCCAAGCATGGACCTGCTCTGTGCCCTCTGATCCCATCTGCTCCATGCATGGATCTGCTCTGTGCCCTCTGATCCCATCTGCTCCATGCATGGATCTGCTCTGTGCCCTCTGATCCCATCTGCTCCATGCATGGATCTGCTCTGTGCCCTCTGATCCCATCTGCTCCAAGTATGGATCTGCTCTGTGCCCTCTGATCCCATCTGCTCCATGCATGGATCTGCTCTGTGCCCTCTGATCCCATCTGCTCCAAGTATGGATCTGCTCTGTGCCCTCTGATCCCGTCTGCTCCAAGCATGGATCTGCCCTGTGCCCTCTGATCCCATCTGCTCCATGCATGGATCTGCTCTGTGCCCTCTGATCCCATCTGCTCCATGCATGGATCTGCTCTGTGCCCTCTGATCCCATCTGCTCCATGCATGGATCTGCTCTGTCCCCTCTGATCCCGTCTGCTCCCTGCATGGATCTGCTCTGTGCCCTCTGATCCCGTCTGCTCCCTGCATGGATCTGCTCTGTGCCCTCTGATCCCATCTGCTCCCTGCATGGACCTGCTCTGTGCCCTCTGATCCCGTCTGCTCCAAGTATGGATCTGCTCTGTGCCCTCTGATCCCATCTGCTCCCTGCATGGATCTGCTCTGTGCCCTCTGATCCCATCTGCTCCCTGCATGGATCTGCTCTGTGCCCTCTGATCCCGTCTGCTCCATGCATGGACCTGCTCTGTGCCCTCTGATCCCATCTGCTCCCTGCATGGATCTGCTCTGTGCCCTCTGATCCCATCTGCTCCCTGCATGGATCTGCTCTGTGCCCTCTGATCCCATCTGCTCCCTGCATGGATCTGCTCTGTGCCCTCTGATCCCGTCTGCTCCAAGTATGGATCTGCTCTGTGCCCTCTGATCCCATCTGCTCCATGCATGGATCTGCTCTGTGCCCTCTGATCCCGTCTGCTCCATGCATGGACCTGCTCTGTGCCCTCTGATCCCATCTGCTCCCTGCCCAACCCCTGTGAGGGGTGCAGTCACACAGGTCCTTCCCTCTGCCCACCCCTGGCTGGGATCCGTGCCCAGACAAAGCCCTCCACCAGACCTTGGGGTGTCCTCAAGGGACCCTGGCCCCAGGGGCTCCTTCCCCAGATATACAGAAGGTGAAATATGAGTTTCATCCCTCCAGACATTTTAATGACTTTACTTGGGAACCAAAGAAAAGAAGAGAGACAGAAAGATCAAGGACCAGTTGCTTAGTAACGAAAGGAGAGAGGTGCAGGGGATGGGAGAAAGGAATTTTTATCTTTTTATCTTCTTTTTTTTTTTCTTTTATGAGACTGTTTCTCCACTTTCAGGAGACATGCATCCCCCACTCCAGCACCTGTGGTGCCACATTCCACAGAGACGCTCCCCTGTGCAAGGTCTGGGTTTCATCCCTGTCCCCAGGGCTGTGGGAAGATCCATCTGAACAGACAGACTCTATATTCCTAGGACATCACCAGCAAGGAACAGAGGTGGTAGAAAGTGGTGGATGGAAGGATACTTTCTCTGAGTGACAGACATATATGACCTCCACCACCACCACCTAAATTCTGTTGCTCTATGACACCACCAACAAAACTGGGAGCCAGGTGGCTCCAGGCATGATTTACCAAGCTAATATTGACACATCCTGCCAGACCCTTTCTGTTCCAAACCTGCTCCTTCTCCTGCCTGAGCTCTCCTCCCAGCCAGGGGAAGCCAGCTGGGAATGGAGCTGGGGGTTTAAGCTGCCTGTGGCTGGTGCTGACCTTTCCTTCCCAGCATGGCAAGCATGGAGATGAGCTGAGGGCTTGGCTTCACACCCCTGAAAATGTCAAGCCCTGGCAGCAGGACTGGGAGCTGGGAGAGCTGCTGGGAGCCCTGGCAGCAGGAGGGATAGCAAAACCAGGCTGCATTTAATTAAGACCAGGCTGCATGCTGTTAACCATTTACTGCCCCCCAGAAGGGAGTCAGTTCCATCCCTGCCCGCACACCAAGGGCAGGAGGATGCTCTGGGGACCTTCCCAATACAGGGAATGTTGCCAGTACCCCTAAAACCTGCTTGTTCTTGGTCACTGATGCTGTTCACCACCCTCACTGCTGTAGCCTGAGGGCAGAGGTCTCATCCCTCCCTCTGGAGCCCTGGCTCTGCTTTCCCCTTTGCCCCCTCATCTCCCCTCCCAGCCCTCACCCAGTGATCTCTAACCCAGAGAAGAGGGGAAATGAAAGTCCCTGCTCTGAGTTTCCATGGGAACACAAGTGCTGCTGTCCTCCTAGCCCTGCAGATGCTAATTGCAGAGCAGAGCATCCCAGCGATGCCAAGGATGAGAGAAAACTAAGAGAAAACTATTCCTATCCTTCCCAAAGATCAGCTGAAAAATCTGCCCAAATTCCACCTGCTGCAGGTAGGGGACAAAACCCTGTTCAGCAGATGTATCATCACACAGGTTCACATCTCATCCCAATGCTGTGTAAGGCAATGGATCCAGCTGGGAATCTGCTTTGGCACTGAATTCCTTTTCCCTGCCAGGCACAGAAGTGCCACAGCCATGGACAGGTTTGAATCTTAAATTGTAGGGAGGTAAGAAGGACCAGAGGAGCAGCAAGGTGAAGCACAGGCTGCTAAGGGGAAGGGGAGCAGGGAAAAGCAGGCTCCCATGGGGAGGGACTGCTATGGGATATCAGGATGGGATATCAGGGACATCAGGATGGCACTCTGCCCCCTGCTTGGCTCATTTCCCCAGTGTTTGGGATGTGCTGCAGAGCTGTATCTATTATCTATATCTATATCAATATTTTAGGGCTAGTGTGAGTCAGGCCCTTTCCTTCAGGCTCTTATCCACCTGATATTTTCCTCCTCCTCCTCGCTGGCTTCCACCTGCAGGCAAAGCCTCTCAGGGGATCACCTACCTGGAAATCCACCTGCCAGGGCTCAGGGCTGAGCTGCTGCAGGTCCTGCAGGTGGGTTTTCCTCAGGGGGTTTCTCACCAGGGCAGTGCCAGGGTCGCTGGCTGTGGGCACCTTCCTGCGGGGCTCGTGCTCGGAGATGTGGGTGGTGCTGTACGCCCGTCTCCTGGACAGAGCCTTCACATCCATTCCTGAACGGGGGGAGAGAGGATCAGCTCCACTCCACACTGGGATCAGCCAGCACCACCCTCTGGCTCACAGTGGGAGGCAGGGAGCCCTCACCAAGGTCCTGCCAAAGCTCAGGGGGCCACACTCAGCCCTGCAAAGTTTTAAACAAAGCAGCAAAACCACAGAAGGAAATAGAAACACAAAATTCCTGGGGATGTCAAGAGAGCAGGTTGGGAAGGTTTTGTCTGAGGAGTTTTCAGTCAAAAAAACGCCTGACTGCATTTCCTCAAACCTCCCTGGAGAAGACAAAGGGTTTACTAATGAAATTTAATTAGTGCAGACACGCTCCTGTCAGAGCAAGACTAAAATCTGCCTTGGAAAGACATGATTTCTCATTGCTTTTGACAAGTTTGAGGGGATGCACAGTACAGATCCTCTTGGAATAAAAGGGAAGAACATCCCATGAGTAACAGAGGTTTCCCCAGCTCCAGGGTGCAACCAGCTGCTTTATGCCACATGCTGCTGAAACAAACACCCAGCCAGGCCGTGGTGGGGAGGAGTGACACCCTGGGGAGAGGGCTTTGGATCCATTCTCCCCCTCTCCTGACTGGGAAGCTGCTTTGCAGGTACAGGGATGGTCTAGCAGAGCTACCCATTTGCTCACTCCACTCCTCCTCACACTGTTTGGGAAGCTTGTAAATAATTATGTGGCCAAAGCTAAAGCTGCTTTGAAAATCTCCAGGGAACCCAGCTCACCAGGGCTTCCCTTGATTTCCTGACAGGTTTGGATAAAACATCCAAACCAAACAGACTTGCTCAAGCCTCAGGAGATCTGTCATCTCTCCTGCAAACTCCTCCAGCTCTTTGCAGCTGAAGACATGTGTAAATCAGGCAAAAAACTTGGGGGAGCAGTGACAGGAGTTTGATTAGAGAGACAGGGCATCACCCCCCGCCCCCAGCATGTAGAGAGGAAAATCTGACCCGTGTCCGTGTCCGACTCTCCCCCAGGGTCTCTGCCCACGCCCAGGTGCTCGGGGGAGCGCTCGGTGGGGCAGGACCCCTCTGAGTCTCTGGAGTGGTTCCAGCTCTCCAAGCCTGCTCCCTCCTCCTGGGAGTGAAAGAAAACAGAGCTGCCCGACTCCTGGGAATGCATCGTGCTGTACTGCCGCCTCTTGTCCTGGGGGGAAGCACAGAGAGGGAACAGGTCCCACCACAGTCTCTGTCCACCAGCTCCCAGCTGAGACAGGCTGCACCAGCACCCTTAGCCACTACTGCCCCCCAAAGTCCCACCCATCACTCCCTTAAAGCCACAGCTGGGAAGCAGGAGACACCCCCTGACCATGCACAGAGCCAAGGCTCTTGTGTACACCCCAACACCCCCCGCTCCTGGGACAGACTCACAGCTCTGGGGTTGGACAGGTACGGGGAGGTGTCACAGATGACACCGTAGCTGACCAGGCGGTCACCAGGGAACAGGCAGCTGCTGCTGACAGGGGACACCAGGACCTCAGTGCTCTCAGGAAAGACCCACTCCACGGACACGTCACTCAGGACCGGAGCCATTGCCTTCTTCAGTGACCTGATCATCTGCAAAGGGCAGGGAGAGAGGCTCAACACTAGCTGGACATGGTGGGAGCCATGGTGCACGTGCCATGTGCTGCAGGGAAGGGGAACATTCCCTCAAACAATCCCATCAGCTGATTCCTACCCTCTCCTGACATTCTGCTTCCTGTTAGTCTACTCTGATGTCCATCTCAACACCTCCATTTCCTTGGCAGAGTTATACTTGACAGAGCTGGGTTAATGGTTGGTCTTTTCCAACCTAAATGACTCCATGATTCCATGATTTTTACCATGATCAGATAATGATGGAGCACAGGGCTGATCTCACACACACTGCCAGCCCAGAGCAAGGTGGGAGCTATTGGCCTGAGGGATCTTACTCTGATGTGAGGCAGCATCCCTTGCTCCCCTCTAGCACCCAGGCCTTCACTGGTCTGAGCCCCAGCCCCAGCTCTTTTCCTGAGCCCAGCACTCACACACTGATAATTTTGGAACAGCTTATTGCTGGCACAAGCCACTGCCAGAGATCAGCAATGCTCTGCCTGTTACACATGTGGAGAAGACCAATATTCATGAATACCTCATGGGCAAATCTCCCATGGAGCCATCTACATGAGCTTCCCTGCATGCCAAGGGAACTGAACACCAGATTTAGAGACAGAACAGCTCAAATATTCCCCATTGTTCCCTGCTTTTTCACAGGCTTGGGAAGACACACCAGGCTGTGTTTTATAAGGCCATTAATTGACGCCTCAGACTGCTGAAGGCACCGAGCTGCACAGCCTGCAAAGCTCTTATTAATAGCTCTTATTAAACACCTCTCTCTTCACTGTCTCTGCTTTTAATTTACATCAGAAATGTTGATGCCATTCTGTCTTAGAGAGGTTTTTGTGTGCTCCAGGCTCCTGCAGAGGGTGGAGTTGCCGAACTCCTCCTTGAGAGATCAAGAAAGTAGAAGCTGGCTTTTTGGAGATATTTAGGAGCTAAAGACCCAATTCTCTCTGGGTTTAGTCAAGCAGCAGGTAACAGGCTGGGCTCTGCATTCACCAGGGGACAGAGCCATCCCTATGCCAGATTTCAAGCACATGGTTTTACTCTTCGTGGGGAGAGAGGGAATGGAGAGCCTTTAAAGCCAGCTTAATAAGCAAAGCCATCACAGCGCATTCCTCTCGCTCCAACACCGCGTCCTTCTCGCCTGAGCAACGCCAGGGCTGAGCCCGACTTCAAAACTAATTGGCTGCTTTGATGCCGGTCCCACTGCCCTCGCCGTACCTGAGGCAGAGCCGCCTTTGAAGGCAGAGCTGCAGCACCGCGGCCATCGTGGTCCCCAGCCCCAGGCGGAGGCAGACGCACCCTCCGCTCCCTCCGACGGCCGCCGGACACCGAGATGCTCTTTGATCCCCTCCCGCTGCCCACCTGCTGCGGGGGGGGCTGGGAAGGCAGGGCCAGGATGGGGAATGAGCCCCCCGGGAGCCGCGGCCTCCCCCTCGCTGAAGCAGAGCATCCTTACAGCCCCACGGGTGGCCCCCGGGGAGCGGGGCTGTACCTTGGGCTGCAGCCTCTCGCCCTCCTCCAGGAACTCGGAGACGCCCCTGGACACGGCAGCCAGACCCCGCACCAGCCTCCTGCAGGCGTTTGGCCCGAGGCCGAAGCTGTAGCACCTGCAAAGGGACAGGGAGAATCAGGATCCAAAGGAAAAGCCACCCACCAGCCCCATGTAGCTCACACACTCCCTCAGGCAGAAACTCCCTCTGGCTTTTTGCCACTGTGGTGTCCAGCAGAATAAACCAGCCCCTCTTTTAGGTATGTGGCAGGAAGGTTGAGAACCTCCCAGTGCCTAAAGGGGCTCCAAGAGAGCTGGAGAAGCACTTTGGACATGGTCATGGAATGACAGGACAAGGGGGAATGGCTTTAAGCCAAAAAACGGCAGGGTTAGACTGGATATTGGAAAGAAATTCTTCCCTGTGAGGGTGGCCCTGGCACAGGTTGCCCAGAGAAGCTGTGGCTGCCCCTGGGTCCCTGGAAGTGTCCAAGGCCAGGCTGAAGGGGGTTTGGAGCACTCTGGGCTATGGAAGGGGTCCCTGCCATGGCAGGGGGGTGGAATGAGATGAGCTTTAAGGCCTCTTCCAATCCAAACCATTCTGGGGTTCTATGAACCACCAGCCCCCTCCTCTCAGCAGACCCCAAACCCCTTCCCCAAAGAGCAGCCTTCAGCAGTGACACTCAGGGGTTCCCAGCAGGACCTCCAGCCTTCCCCTCCTCTGCAAACACAAACAAGCTGCTTTGCTCTCAGTTCAGCTCTTTTCCCTGCTGGCTGTGGTCAATAGCACTAAAGATCCAGTAATTATCTCTGCTTGCAATGAAAATAAACATTTTCTCAAGGAAGGATGATCAAGCCAGGTGAGGCTGCTCCCCCTCCCCTCCCAGGTCTGTGAATCAGGGTTTGGTTTGGGCTGAAGGCTGCAAGTCGAGCTGGAGCCCTGGCAGGGAGGGCAGTGCTAGGTGGGGATGGATGTGCCAGGAAGCCAGGAGGATGGGAATGGGTGGGATATTACATTTGGGCAGGGCAGGAGATTGCTGAGAAAGAAAGCACCTTCAGCAGCAAACTGCATCTGCACAAGGGGCTTTTCTCTTGGAGGGTTTTAATCCTCAGCTGCCTGCAAATCCTAGGCCAGCCTCACACCCCTCCTAAATAAGGCTCTGATCTTCTTTTAAGATGGGCCATGCCCAGCACTCTCCCTTCCAGGGTCAGCTGAGACCACACTCCAGCTCTGATTGCATTTAACCCTCCCTCCCTTCCAGCCCTGCAAGAGCCAGGGGTGGGAGGGTGGGAAACAACCAGACCTCTGTGCAGTTACAAACCCACAGAGCAGCTTCCCTGATAACTCCAAAGTCTGAGAGATGGAAGAGGAATCAGGATTTCTTACATTTTCCCCATGTTTTGTGCCCCTTAAAGAGGCAGAGGAGAAACCAGAACAGCCTGTGATGAGGGCTGGGGAGCCAGGCTGGGAGCTTGTGCACAATTAGCTGCTTTTTACATTGCTGCCTTTCAGCATATTCAATTCTGCACAGCCCCATCCTGGAAGCAGCTGGGGCCAGCCCCAGATGTGCTTTAAAAAAAAAAAATATAAAAAAAAAGCAAGGAAGATTGTTGGCGTGTCAATCTCTCCTAGCAGGAAGCATCAGCCGAGAGCTGTGAAGTTGTCAGCTCAATTATCCTGCTTTTGATTGTTTAAAAAGCATCTGAACTTCTGGGATTCGTTCCAAACCCTTTGAGGTTCTCCCATGGCTCATAGCAGCAATCTCTCCTGCCTCTGTCTCTGAAGTGGGGACGTCTGTGAGAGGGAGCTGTGCTCAAGGGGAGGCACATGCCAGCCTGTGCCAGGTTTCTGGCCCTGCAGGGCTGAGTCTGTACCTGGTGGAGCAGGAGTGGTCCCGCAGCAGCTCCAGAACCTTCCCAGTGTTGCTGATGGCCCCGGCTGTCAGCACAAAGAGCAGCCGGGGGTGGCCCCTGTGGATGGGCTGGCGGAGGAGCCACTTCAGGGGGGACAGGAGGTTGATGCTGCCCATATCAGCCCGGATCCTCCTGATGCTCTGGCAGGCAATCAGCAGGCTCTCCTGCTCAAAGGAACAGTGGAATTGTCAGTGCCAGCACCCTTTGAGCACCAAGGTGAGCCATGGGAGAGGCTGAGGGAGTTGAGGCTGCTAATCCTGGTGAAGGGAAGGCTTTGGAGAGACCTTAAAGCCCCTTCCAGTGCATAAAGGGGCTCCAAGAGAGCTGGAGAAGCACTTTGGACAAGGACCTGGAGTAACAGGACAAGGGGGAATAGCTTTAAGCTGAAGAAGGGCAGGGTTAGATTTGGTATTATAAGGAAATTATTTACTATAAGGGTGGTGAGGCCCTGGCACAGGTTGCCCAGAGAAGCTGTGGCTGCCCCTGGATCCCTGGAAGTGTCCAAAGCCAGGCTGGATGGGGCTGGGAGCACCCATGTATAGTGGAAATTGTCCCTGCCTGTGCCATGTAAGGTCCCTCCCCACACAAACCAGTCTGTGATTCTGTGAACTGTGGGCTCACCCACCTCACAGTAGGCCTGGCTGACAGGAAAGAGGGTCTTGAAGGTGGATCCAAACCCAATGATATTGAAGAGACACGCTGGCATCAGGCTCTTGAGAATGACCAACAGGGCATCCTGAGGGGCAGAAAGCAAACAGACATGAGGACACTTGGATCCTCCCTGGCTGCCCCAACTTCACCAGTAAAAGCTCTGCCCAGAGCCATCCCATCTTATTGCCACTTTCACCTGACAACGAACCAACTGCTTCTTTCCCATGCCTCCATATGACCCAGCTCTTTTCAAAGTCCCTTGATGATATTTGGGATGTGAAGCAGTGAGGAAAATGGGGAGTCTTTGGAAAAAAAGACAACAAAGAACTGAACAATTTTTTCTGTTTGTTTTTAAGGGATTCAATTTGTGCTGGCAACACAGTGCTGCAGCACAGAGCTGGTGGGTGAGAAGCAGAGTGTGAAATTGAGAAGTGCGACACGCAATGCATCTCAATGCCTAAACTTGCAGAAAATAAACAAACAGCTTAAAGTTACACAAAAGGAAAAGCCTCCCCCATCCCCAATTCTCTTGTATTCATAGCTGGCTTCAATTAAAATAACTGGGAGACAACAGATTTAAGCTATTTTCTTTACCAGAGGTGGTTATCTAATGTGCCTATTCCTGGGCTTTACATAAGGCAAGAGCAACTTGAATTGTCACAGTGGTATTGTGGACAAGTCCAGGACAGAGCTTGTGATCACAGGAACTGGGCAAGAGCTGCTTAAGGAGCTCTTGAACTTGTAGGAGCAATTACGTGGCAGGAGAGGAGACCCATTTAAAGCAAAGTGTTTATTTAAAGCAAAATGTAAAGCAAAGTGTTCAGGAGCAGCTCAGTTCTATTTAAATGCTGATCAAGGCAGACTCCTGCCAGTCTGCCGAGGGCAGCAGAAACCCTCTAGCCAGCCCCTGGAGGAGCTGCCAAGGTCAAACAAGGAAGAATAGCCTCCTTGAGTTGTCCTACCAGTGGCAAAGACCAAGTGACCACAGAGGGACACAGCAAACTCCCTGCCTGGGTCCAGTAGGGATCCCAAAAGCTCCTCCTTACAGGCTCCCAAAGCCTGTAAGACTCAGCAAAAACTCAGAGCTGGAGCACTGAAAATCAGTGGAATAATGTACAAGAACAGGGCTGCCCTTTAACAGGCTCTGGAGTACTTGAATCCAAGCTGTTATCTCAAACCTACGAGGATATATTTATACCACTGCTCCCAGATGGCTCCCGGGATGCTGGCTCTTCCAGATCTCAGTGCTGACATCCCATCTTGGAACTCATTACAAGGGAAAAAATACAAATTTCCAAATATTTCTCTTAAAGCACTTCCCAAAATGGGCAACCGATGCCTGCTTGCTATTTCAGCAAGCAGAAAGATTTATTGCTTCTTATGGTAAATATTGATCTTGATCCTGTTGCACTCCATAGCTTTATGGCAACTCAATAAGGAGGGATGTTTGCTTCTAGAAAAGTCAATTCCCAGTTATTAGTGCAGTTTTGCCAGCGAGCACCATCACAGCCTGGCTCTTCTCCCTGGCTGCATCAGGGTGGGAAAGGAACTGGCTGCAGGAAATTTAAATCCCTGAATTTTCCACTCCAGCTGCTTTGGACGGGTGCCCTCCTGCTCTGCACAGGCCCTTCCACCCCATCCCTGAGTGCATCCTGAGGCTGCAGAGCTCCAAGACCTGTCATGCCATGCATCCAGCCAGCTGAGGATGATGCAGAAGGTTCCACCAACTAAAACCCACCCACACCCTCTCAGAACAGCTCCTGCTGTGAGGTCCCTGGTGTCTGCAAGTGACAAACAAGGACAGGACACTCAAAAGAGGGACAGTGAGTTTCTCCTTTGAGGTATCTCCTCCAAAATCTCCCACAAAATATTTTTTCCTGAAGGTGAACAGCCTTTTTCCTGTTTCTACAGCCCTCCTGAGATGGGGTTTCCATTTCAGGACCAATCAGAGAAGGGCTCTGATCCTGCAGGTCACCATCCCCAGGGGACAATCCAGCCTCCACAGAGGCTGCAGAGACTGTGGTGCCCAAACCCAGCCATGCTATGAGTTGGAATGCAAAAATCCACGCTGGGAAAAGATTCTCGGACTCCTAAAGATGCTGGGAGAAGGGGTTACAAGCCCAGAGATATCCTGTTCCCCCTGGGAACAGCCTCCCTATCCCAGGGGATGTGCTGCAGCCATCTGCAGGCTCCCCAGCATCCCAATCCTTGTTGCTGAAGGTGTCTGTCCTTCTTCAGCAGTTCCCATGGAAACCGGAGACAGATGGGAAAAGAGATGTGCTAGAAGATGGACAAGTTCAGGAGTGGGTCTGTGGGAACCTCATGAGGTTCAGCAGACCAAGTGCAGGGTCCTGCACCAGGGCTGGCTCTGGGTAAGAGCCACATCTGACAGAGGAACCTCAGACCCACAAAATATCCTGACAATGCTATTTTGTATTCAGAGCTCTCAGCACAACTCCCATAACTATTCACCAGGCTGCTGGTGGCCATTTGTGCTTGGAAAAGGGATGTCTCATATTTAAATCATTTCTGTGGGTTCACAGAGATGCCCATCAGCAAAACCTCTCCTAATGCATGGTCAGCACCTTGCTCCCCTTGGAGCTCCCTGGAGGTTTCCTTCTAGGCAGCCATTACCCAAAGCCCTTCTGGATACAGGGAGAACTGGAAAAAGGATGCACAAAACATGCCAGCAAGAGAGGTAAAGAAGTAATTTTATATTTTATGTGCTGATAGGAAGAGCAGAGGAGAACAGGGGAGAGTCACCTTTGTTGCAGGTACCAAAGGAGCGCCATGGTTGAGATGACTAAAATACAGCCTATAATTACCCCCCATGCCCTGATAATGAACAGTTATGCTCTCAGCACCCCCACTGCTCTCTCTCATTCATCCCTGCTGACAGGCAGGTGCTTCCCCTCCTGCAGGTACCTTGGCATGGCTGATGCTCACACCACTCATGCTCCTGCTGCGGTCTACCAGGAAGATGAACTCGCCCTGGGCTTTCCGGAGGCCTGGCTGCACAGTCCTCAAGTCAGGGCAGAAGTTGAGCATGATGACAGGGTGGTGGGGGATGTCCTTGTTCAGCCTCTTCCTGATGATTTCCATCTAAAAGAAAGCAGGAGATAGCTCCAGAGGTTGATTTTGAGAGGTTGATTTCTCCACCCCATTTCAATTCAAGAGGAATCAGAGCAGGGCTCAAAATGCAAGTGCATGGCTTTTTGTGGGCCAGTATCATCTGCTTGTTCAGAGGTGACAACACCAGGGTGGGCCAATATCCAGGTGTCCTATTCTGTCCATACCCACAGTATTCACCATCCCTGCAAGTGTCCAAGGCCAGGCTGGACAGGGCTTGGAACAAGCCGGGGTAGTGAAAGGTGTCCCTGCCCATGGGAGGGGTGGGAGCTTTAAGGTCCTCTCCACCAATCCATTCTGGGATTATATGGAGCAACTGCACACTCAGATAAAAGCCTGGAGAAGAAATCAAAAGACCTCGCCCTACCCAGCACCTTGCAAATCTGATTCTCCGAACATTTCATTAGATCCTTCCCGAAAACCTGGTTCATTAGCACAGCTTAGCATCCCACCGAGGCACACCAGAGGTTTTCTCCATGGTCACTCACTAATGAAGTGTGAGATGCAGCCCTTGATCTGCTGCATTCAGCACTCCAATTCATTCCTGCCGCCTCTGGTTTGCTGCTTTTTCTGCCCATTTCTTTTATCACTTTTCTTTGTAGGGATTGAAAGGCTTTGGAAAGCTGAACCGTTTGCTCTGGCCATGGCTCGATAGGAACCTGCATGATCTCTGCACTGCACACAGCTCCAATGGCTCTCCACATTTTCTCTCCTTCTATTTCAAGTATTCATTACAAATGGGATAAAATAGAACTGGTAAAAACCTCTTGTGATGGGTTTATAATGTGTTATTACGTGTGTATCAAGCAGTAACGGGTTCATGGCCTCAGCTGCTTTGGAGGGAGCTCCAGGACCCCACTTCAGCCCAGCCGTGGCCTTTCATCCCTGGGTCTGAGTGTGGAAAAAACTCCTCAATAGCAGCTCGATCCTCAGGGGCTTTGTTTGCCTCTTTTCTCCTCTTTCTGGCTGCTTTTCTCATTGGTTTCACAGGGACTAAACCAGACCCCAGATAACTGGGCTTGTTTTCTCCAGCCATGAGTCACATTCCTCAGTTTATGAGCTGACAACCAACCTTTGTTTTCTAAAACTCACTAACTCCCTGTGGCTCAACACACACACACACACACACACAAGCTCTGCTTTCAGCTCCGCTGCCTGAGCACAGCTTCTCTGACCCAGTGAAAAGACAGGTCCCACTCAGAGGAATAAGCCAAGCTCCCACTCATCCTCCTACCTTTCCCTTCTATGCTATGGGGCATAAATTAATCAGCTGCTGAGAAATCAAAGGGCTTTTTCCATTTCCATTTCCCTTCAGCCATATGACATTATTTTCTTTCACAACTTTTCCAGTTTATCGCATTCCAGACTAGAGTGGTCCTTGCTGCTTCTGTACAAATACTGAATCGTGGCCCTGGACCTATCCACAGAACTCCCTGGAATGCTCTTGGGTATCCATGACATCAATTTCCTGTGTGATCAGGATGAGCCCATACTTTGGGATTTCTCACTGACTGGAGGGAATTTTAGAGGCAAGTCTTCAGTAAACAGCTTCAGTGGAGCTGCTACAGGTCAGCCAGAAAAGAAAACACCACCTCACCTCCGTTCCGTTCCCCTTCACCCATTATCCAATTACAGTAAACTAATCAGATTTTGTTGAATAAAGTTGATTCCAGTGTGCATCCATCCCCACCAACCTGCAGCTGACAGCATCCAAGCTTTTTGCATAACAAACAGAGGGAGGAGAATTACTTATCATTTACTGCTGAAATTTCTGGGCTAATTTAATTTAAGCCAAGAAGTGGCCAATGTCCTGCTCTGAGCAGCAGCAATTCCAGCCCATCATCTACCCTAGGTATTCCAGACATTTTCTCTGCTCCCTGCAGTTGTTTCCCAGTCCTCCTGGGGCACAGGTGGCTTTCCTGCAGGGAAATGTCTCCAGAATGATCCCCCCTTAGATAATTTGACATGCTAAATGTGCAGAAATAATTAGGGAGCCATCCGAGGCGTAGCGTGGGAGTTTCATCTCGTTCCACCTGCCACATGCTGAACACAATTAGAGGAGATGCCTGCAGAGTCCCAGCCCTGCCAGAGAGAGCGGAGGGCAAAGGGAAGGGAGGAGAGGAGGGTTGACAAGTCTCTGGTGAAAGGAGAAATCTTAGCAGCATGGGGAGACACCCCTGCAGCAGGTCAGGGATGTCTGCCAAGAGGGACCCAGGATCAGACATGCAGAGAAGAAGTTTAGGGGGAAATGAGCATCTCTGGGCACACAGGAGAGCCCTGGCTGTGTAAAACAGGAGCTGACACTGTCAGCCCCAGCTGTGGCCACACCAGCATGACCTGTCCCTTAGGGGAAGACGCCCACCCTGGAAATCCAGAGGGCTCTGAGCTGTCTGCTGCTCTCTGCTGATCCCAGACACACCAAAGAGTTGGGCTGTCACTCATTCCTTCAGAACTGCTGGAAGACGAGGCACAAATCCCAGCACAGATATTTTTCTCTTTGCTGCTCAGCAGAACAAAGAGAAGTCTCTCCTACCTTGTCTTCTGTTCAGCTCATTATTCCCAGGAAGATCACTTCTTTCTCTCTGACAGCTACCCAGAAACAGTAAACATTTACCAAGCAATTAAAAGAATATTTTATTCTATGTCATTGCAATAATTATAATACCCTTAATACTATCACAATGCACCTCTCTAATTATGCTATGCTAGACTAGCACTAATTATACACACAATAACCATCTCAGAGCTCCTTCCCCTCTCAGTTTATCAGCAGCACTGCTGAATTTCCCCCTCTTCCTCGACACAAGCCCCTCTCTGAGGGAGGATGCTGCAGGTCTCATTGGGACAGTGTAATATCTGATGCTGGAAACATGGAATAATCTTCTAGCTCAGCTCCAGTCCATGGAAAGCCTCAGCTAACACCTGCAGCTTGTGTTTCTCACCTTTTTCTTGGCACTGGGGTCTTTCTTAGTGCCTTTAATGAAATCGTTCTTCCCCTTCAGGTGTCGTTCGTACTCTGCAGGGGTCATGTCACCCTCTTCCATTAAGACATGGGGCATGTGGGGCTCTGTAAATGCAGAGAATTGTGTGAAGAACAGCTGTGGTTACACTTTGAGTCTGGCAGAGATGCAGGCACCCTTGGCTGGGAAAACAGCAGTACCTGCGAGCTTGGAGAGCTCAGAAAACCCTGAGAGAGGCCAGGGTTACCTCCTGGGAAGCCTAACCTTGACAGTATTTGCAAAACCAGCACTAATCCATCTGTCTGCAGAGCTACAGAAGAAGATCCCAGGAAGAGGCAAGACCAGCAGAGGGGAAGCAGAGCCCACCTACCACTTGGATGGATCAGGATCTCCACGGGTCTGTCGAAGGTGTGTTTGTTGGCCAGCGTGATCACGATGCTCTTGGCAGAGCGAGCCGAGGGGTCGGCGTCTGCTCGGATCTCGTGTGTGGGGCTCTCAACTCCTGCAGGGAAAACGAGGTGCCAGTAGGGATTGAGGGTGGGGGACACCAGGGAGAAGGGATGACAAGGCAGTAGAGGACAGGAATCCAGGTTAGCATCAATCCTGTACTGGTAAATCCACCCCAGCACAGTTAAGTTGCCAACACAGATTTACATTGTGGAGGAGCAATAAAGCCTCTCTGATTTGGCCTTATCATAAAGCAGAGCAATAGGGCTCACAGGAGCTCAGTCCCTGGGTAGGGACCGGGTGCCCGAGGCCAGCTCACTCATGCCAACGCCGCGGGGCTGCCATCTAGCAAGCATGGTGATTATCAGCTCTATAGTGATTGCAAGCTCTTAGGATTTCAGCTTTGCTTGCTTGGTAGTGGTGCCCCGGGCTTGAGGCTGCAGCAGACGGAGAGAGAGGAGAAGGAGAAGGCGCAGGCTGTTCCACGAAGATGGCTTTATTTGGGGAGGTCCGTGAAGGGTCTCTGCTCTTCTTCTTTCTCCCCTAATGGGGTACAGTATGCTTCTTTTATAGGGTTGGAAAGGATCCAAGCTTGACCAATGGGTAAGGGGTTAACATGACATTGCCTTATAGGGTTACAGAGATAGGTTAAGGGCGGAGGACAGGGAAACAGGAATTTTCTTTTGCTGTTTCAGCATTCCTATTGTTCATATTCTCCATGGTGCTTTTCCTAAATCTATGGGGTTTACTACAGAGGAGGGGGAGTGTGGACATTGCCTTGGGGAGGTGATAAATCAGCCTTGTGCAGCAGGACAGCCCCAGTGCTCCTACCTGCCAGCAAACACGGCCCCCGGATCTCCAGGTGGAAGCTGAATTCATACTCAAAGGGGTTGGTGGTCTCACTGTCCAGCAGCTGAGTCAGGCAGAACCTGCTCCCTTGCTCCGGGCTCCCCAGTCCACAGGGGTGCTTGTCCCTGATGGTGAGATAAATCCAAATAAACCCTGTCAACATGTTCTATGCCTCCAGGAACTGCAGGTCTGCCAGAGGTAAAGCCTGCAGCCACTCTCCAGCCTCCTGCAGCTCCTGCTCATTCAGCCCTGCATTCTCCAGGATCAATCCCAGACAGAGCCCACCCCATGGTTTTCCATACATTTGGAGCTGGTGGCTGGAAAAGCTGCTGGCATTCTCCAGGCTGGGCTGGGAGACCCTGGGGACACACACAGCTGGCAGAAGGACCCTCACCACCCCGCTGGGCAGTGTCTGCAGCTCAGAAGAGGTGCTGATGAAGATGGAGACACTTTCCAGGGGAGGAATCATGCCCAGGTTGGCCACAAAAACAATCCTCTCCAGGTCCTCATCCATCATAAGCCTTCCTGCACAGAGATTGGACCATGCCAGGTATTGCAACCATGAAAAATGCTCCTTTCCAGGCCTCTCACAACCCCCAGCCCTGGATCAAACACCCAAAGCTGCCACCACTGCACACATCAGCTTTCTCTAAAGAGCCCCAGCTTCTGCATCACTCCTTTGGCTGCCCAGAAGCAGCAGTGCTTTCCAAGATGGATAAGATAAGACTGACACTTTTGGCACAAGCACCACAACCCCTCAGCTTCCCAAAAGGAGCCCCCTTGGTGCAGCAGCATACACCAGCCAGCCACCCCCATCACCTCCCCACTCCCCTTCCCCTCCTTTTCTCCCTAAAACACCCTCAGCCCCCTCACCACATCCATCACCAGCTCTTCCTGGGGGGAGGCTGCAGCTGTTGAAGTAGGTGTCATCCATCTTGGCTTTGTCTTTGATCTGCACAGTCACGGTGCGCCGGGACACGGCCGCCTCGAAGCCCACGACAGTTGTGCCCTCATCCAAGGGGTACACAAAGAGACCTGCCAGCCAGGAAGGGTGTCAGCAACACCCACCTCTTTCCTGGACCCACCAGCCAGGTCCCTCTTGGCACTTCCCAAGTGGGAAAAAAATCCCACTTGTGGGATTTTTCACACCTAAAAAGTTGTAGAGTTGGACACAATACATTTGGTTGTGCTTCCCACCAGCATCTAAAGGTGGAAGGCATGCACAGAAACCCAGCACTGCCATATCCTGACTTTAAAGTTCCCATTCCAAGCTTCACTCCTTAAAACTTGCCTTCCAAAGCCTGGGGGTCTGGGTTGTGGTAGGTGAGCAGGGCTGTCATCCCAAAGGCATAGCCACTGACACAGGATGTCACCTCGGAGGCAATGAGGGGCAGCCGGGAGAGGGTCACACGGTCAATCAGCCCTGGCATCTTCCTGGAGGTCTCTGGGTGATGTGGGGAGCTGGAGAGAGAAAGGTGAGAATGGCTGTGGAGCCCTGAGTGCCCACAATGTTTGCATGGCTCTGCCACCTCATTCTGAAGCCATGAGGACAGAAAGGTGAGTGACCTGGGACAGGATGAGACCTGGGTTTGATGATTGCAGTGACGGGGATGGGGATGAAGCAAGACCCCCATGTGAAGACAAGGCAAACCCTTGCCCCAAATCTCCATTGGCACAAGGGAGAAGGTTCAGATGAAACCTCCCTGGCTGGGGACACAGCCCTGGAGGTGCATAGTCCCCACCTCCCACACTGCTGGAGTCTGAGCAGAACCAGTTAACATCTTTTTCTGTCCCTCTTTCTCTTCATTATCCTCCAAACCAACAACTTTCTCCAGGATAAGACGATGATCATGAGAGTTTTCCTTTCTGGGGAAGGAAGAGTAGGCAGGCAGAGCCATCCATGCTCCTGCCCTCCCATGCCCTTGCCCATCCTCATCCTTGCTGATTACAGGGAAGTGCCATTGCTCTGCTGTCCTGCATCTCCAGATCCTTCCTGCACAGGCTGACTCATCCCTCCATGTGCTCAGCCGACACATTCAGATGCAAAGTGACTCCTTATGCCAATTACATTCCAACCCTTTTCCCTAAGCAGGTTTTCCTCCATTACAGCTCCTCTCCCCCAGGCCTCAGGGTTTTAAAGGAGACTTTTCAGGTGGATTTTAGGGCCCCATCCCGCTCCCCCAGGGAACCAGGAGAAGTTGCTAGGCAGCAGTTCTCCCTGGCTGGCTCTGCAATGCTTTATGCAGTGATTTACGAGGCCCAGGAGAAGCCAGCAGCACTGAAATACATCAGTTTCTCATTCTTGCGTTATTAAAACCCACCTTTATATGCAAATGCCACAGAAGACATCAAGGCCCCGAGCTCGATGAGTGCTTGGGGCAGGAAAACGGCGTTGAGAAAGGACAAAGGGAGAGCCAGGGAGAGCAAGAAGGACTGTCCAGGATGGGGGAGAGCAGCCAGGGAAACTGAGCACAGGAAACAGCAGAGAAGATGATGATGATGGAAGACAGTAATCCCAAGGCACGCCCCTGGATCCCAGCCAAAAACCTTAAATTCCCGATTTAATCCACCCCTCCTCCCAGCACAAACGCTGCTCATGCCAGGAGCTGCCCAGGGAGGTTGGGGATGCATCCATGGGGATGCAGTCCCCACAGTCAGGAGATGGAGTCCCAGCTGAGCCAGGGGAGGCCATCCCAACCAGGATGCTCCAAGCTGTGCCAACAGGAAGGCAGGAGCTGGCAAGGGTTCACCTGCCACAGGAGAAATAGTGAAGGTCCCCTCAGTTCAGTATGTGGCAGAGGCCATCAAGGTACAGGGAAGTGATTAAATGCCAGGTGGGGGAGGAAGGAGGGAGAATTATTTTACCTTAGGGAAGAAATAATAAGGGGAAAAAGCTCTCTAACAGCTTGGCACAACAGGAATTCATTATGGGACTGCCAGAGGGGTGAATTTGGGCTCCAGGAGCGTGACTTCAGCTTGGAACTGGGGACTTAGTACAGAGCCACGGGTGAGATCCAAGCCCCTCACATCTCCTGCACCCATGGAACACTGGGGACATAGCTCCCATGGGAACCACTTGCCAGCAGGGATTTCTGCATCACCTGGGATAGAACAAGCACTAAGGGACCCTTGGTGAGATGCAGAGCCCTGTGCCATGTCCTGTTTAATCCAGCCAGGAAAGTTGCACCTCTCCTGCAGCTCCAAGGTGGCTCAGAGGAGCCTGGCACCAGCTCTCACTGGTGTGCCAGCCGAAAAATCGGCCCCACAAGGACAGGGAGGGCTCAGAGGGCTCTTCCCAGCAAAAACCCTTCAACAGGGGACGCTGCCAGCAGAGCCGTGGGGCTGCTCCACACAGCTTGTGTCACCAACGCCATCAAGTGACTGCAGCATGGAAAGGGAGAGCAGCAGAAAGGCTGGAGTGAGGGAGAGCAGTGGGAAGGCTGGAATCTCTCCCCTGTGCCACCCAGGAGCTCAGCACTGGCCCCTTGCCTGCTCCCCATCCAGCCTTTGCTGCTCTGGGATGTGCACTCAGTCTCCGTTCAGGCCATGGGGCCTGAACTCTCAGGATGGGACCTGGCAGGACCCTGCATCCCAAAAAAAATTACCAACAGCTTAACGCTGCACAGAGTACTCCTAGACACACCCAGTCCACAGCGTGTCCCCTCACTGCCACCAAACATGTCCTGCCTCCCACACACAGCAGGCACAGGGCCATCCCACAGACCTGGCCAGGTGCCTCCCAACCTTGCACTGCATCTGGCATCCCAGGAGAAAGGGAAACCACTGAGGGTTAATAGCTTCAGCCCTCAAAATACACCTGCAATCCCATCAACTGGGGAGCACCTCAGGGCTGGGGACAGACATTGTCCCTTGGCCAGCTGTGCTCTGGACCAGGCTGCTACTGGATCGATTTTTTTCCCCCCTCTTCTTTTCCATGACAATCCACTGCTCTTCCTGCCCATGGAGGGGAGGGAGACACGGAAGTGTGATCATCCCACTGCAGGCAATACCCTTGGCCAGGCCCTGTGCATGACTGATGGGGAAGGAGCTGCTGCTGCTGCTGCTGAGACGTCCCTGGGATGTGCAGGGAGCACAGGGCTGCGAGCCAAAGCACGGGCTGCAGCGTCTGTCCCAGCACTCCCAAGAGGCTGGGGCTGGATTTTATGGGATGGGAAAAGGTGTTAATGTGCCTGGAAAATGGGGGTGGTGCCTGAAGCACTGCTTGGAGCTTCCTGGGTGTCCGTCTGTGTCTCTAAGCACTGATGTGCCCTCAAAAAATCTGTCTGAGCACGTGGAGTAAAGACAGGAGCAGAGTAATGCTCCTCTGAGGTGAATTTTCATGCACTGAAAAGGAAAAGAGAGCAAAACTGTGAGCACACAGCCTGGCTTCTGGCAGGACCTGACTCCCAGGAGTGGGCTGGGGTCCCAGCTGTACCACACCACAGGATCTGTGGCATCCACAGCCGACAACAGGATAGGGAGAGTCAAAGCAGGTGCTGGGATAAAACCCGACGCAGCTCCACCCAGCCCTGCTGCCTGAAGGGCAGAAATCAGTGGCAGCCCGGCTGCTTCTGCCCCCCAGGACAGAAAGGCCGCCGTGTCAAGCCCAGCCCCGGTGTCACACCTTGCATCAGACGCATTTTTGAGCAGCTGAATCACTGCCCCGCCCTGCTGTAACCCCTGACCGGCCACAAGCTCGTTCCCTTGGAGATCTCGCCTCCAGGTCCGAGCTAGACCTGGGGCACATCCCCACTGCTCAGAGGACGCCTGGTTTTCTGCAGCTGGGTAAAATATTCCTTCCACGTCGTCTGTCTCAATCAACACTGACATCCAGTGGCTCGCCGGGATGACGACAGCCGGAGCGCCCTGTGGAGATGTTCAGGTGGACAGAGCTGGCCAAGGATGCCTGTTGCACCACAGCCTCCCATCAGCATTCCTGGACAATCTCCACCGGGGAAAAAACACCCCCATTGTTTGCAAATCCAGGACAGGAGAAGCCTTGCACTTCCCAAACTGTCAGAGTTCTCAAGTAGACTCACCCTTGGGAATTCTCCCTGGTTTTCAGGGGCAGCAAGGCTCAGGGAGCTGCCGAGGGGCCCCTGACTTCACCTACCTGATCCACATCACTGCAGGTCATGACTACGACATGCAGCAGCCCTCCAGCTGCTTTCCCCCAAAGCACAAGGCTCAAACCTGGCCAGGAAACTGGGATCAACCCCCTAAATATCTCTAGGAAGAGGAGGAAATGGGGTTTGAAAGAGCCCATAGCACTGTCCTATCTGGAAGAGCCTTGGATCACCATGGCAGATCTGTGAGATACTCTCAGCAAAGGCCACAGGAGCTGTTCTCCCATCTCCAGCCTCCCCTTGCCTCAAACTGCAAGCAGAATATCCCATTTAATGGAAAACCAGGAAAACAGCCACTGCAGGCCCCCAAAGGGTGACAACAAGGGCCCCCACTGCTACAGCAGTGACAAGGATTGCTGGCCCCAAGGACACCCTGAGGCCTCAGATATGGAAACTGGGGAAAGCCTGGGAAGCAACTTCTCCTGCCAGGACCCAGTGGAATCAGCCAGGTGCCCCTTCCCGAGGTGACACAGTGCCAGGCTGGGCCATGACTGACAGCCCAGGCAGAGACAGACTTTGGGGACTGTCAGCCATAACCCTGGCAAGTGTCTTGCACCACCAGTCTGGCCCCAAACTTGGGTGTCACAAACCTGGATTCCTGTCCCAAGCCCCTTCCTAGAGCTGTTAATCACACATTTCTGACACAGGGGTTAGTTAACCCCCACCTTGCCAGGCTCACAGCTTGGGGGAAGACCCCTGGTCTGAGCCAGAGGGGAGCCAGCCACCCCTTAGCTAGGCTAAACCTACCAGGCAGCCTGCTTCCTGCTTGGGGTGCATCCAGATGCAAGGCACACACAGGGCCCCCAGGAGCAGCACAGCCCTTCTCCATCCACCCCTGCCCTGCCCTGCCCTGCCCCAGCCAGTGTGGTGGATTCCAGCCAGGTCTCAGTGTTTTAACCCTTTCTGGGGGCATCAGCCCCCCTCACCCTGCCAAGGTCACCCCTCCTTCCCCAGACAGTGTGTCCACAGATGGGTTATCCCACTTGGCTGCCCAGGACAGCAACAGCCCATCACCCCCAGCATCATCCCCCCGTCCATCCCTGTCCTCTGCCTGCACGGAGATGGACACAGTCACTACTAAAGTCTGTACAATTTTTGGGGAGGGATGGGATGTTCCAGGACTCACCATCCAGCTGGGAAAAAGCAAGGCTGGGAAGCAGCAGCTTGCAAAGTGTGGGCTTGTGCCTGCACAAATATTATGACAGGGATCTCTTCAGTGAGCAGCTTTGTGCTGGGATCGTGCACAGCCTTGGGAAGTGACACACACACACACCCCTCACACCCACCCCTGCGGAGCTAAAAAGGTGCAGGAGCAACTG